ATATGTGTATATATATATATTATTTAAATATCGAAGACACACTGGGCCGGTATGGATTCACCTGCACCGCTCTTGAACATTTCCCGGCTAAGCCAAACAAAGTTGCATGAGAGTTTCGGCTGTACTCCTGTACAAAGCGTCAGGCTTGTTCTGCTTCTGCTGGGCAAGTTATGAAAAGGCTTCGGGTGCTCTGTGGCGATTAGGCTACCGATGCTGCAGGCGCACTGCGACAGCAGCAGCTACGAATCCTCTGACCCAAACCCTAGACAGAGTGAGCCAGGATCAACGAATTGGCAAGGAAAGCCTTTTCCTTGCCTTTCGAACGCTCGCGTTCCTGTTTAACACTGGGAGACGGAAGGGAATTGGCTTCAGAAGTATTGGGTTTAGGCTTTAGGGGCTAGGGACTTTGGCGGGTGGAGGTCTAGGACATAAATCCTAGGAGTTGTGGACGTCGTAGAACTCTGCAGCTTATTTTTCAATCGTCTCTTCTGCGTTGCAGGCTTCAAGGCGGCTTCGGGCTTCAGTCACTCTAAGGCCTACCTTCCGAACTATGATAACACCGGCTCCTGATCCAAACAGCAGCTTGCAATTGCAAACGAGTCCCGGTCCATCCCATTAGTTCCAAACATGAGAGCTGACTACCACAATACCAATAGCTGCGCTTGTCTGCTCAAGCATGTGCAGCCTTTCGCGCTTAAGGCTTCTTCTCTGAAGCCCCAACCAAAAGCCGTTTATAAAGCCTCGAAAACCCTAAACCCTACCACGGCTGCGGCTCCAGAATGAGGTTTAGGACTAAATGTCCTTACTGGCAGTCAAGTAGATAGGTCTAGTAGGAGTACGCATGTACCATGAGTGCTGCAACGAACCCTCTCATCTGAATCGATGAGAGGTTGTCGGGCTGAGGCAGGCCGCAGCTATTGCTATGATTACCACTAACTATAACTCATGCTATCAAGCCAAACAGGAAGTGAGGCTCGAGCCACGGTCTAGGATGTTCAGGGCTTTTGGGGGACCCGGGGGCGTGTGGGTTCAACAAGCTCTTTACACGTTTCTCAAGAAACAGATAGATGTGTCCGGACAGCGTTCCAGCTCCACCATCAACCATCTATCTATACCTGAAGAGCCAGACACGAAAACAAAACCCGAAGGAACCTTTGATATTGAGGAACTTCAGGGATCTCAAGGATCTCTCAAGAACCAATCCAAAAAATCTTCCTCGAAGTCCATAGCAGATAAAGTTTTGGTGTTTAAGCGTTTCAGTTTAAGGTTCAGGGACTAGGGACCCTGAGTTTAGGGTTCTCAAGGGGGTCTTTGACCTCAAGACCCTCTTCGATGGCGCTCCTTCTCTTTCTCGCGCTCCTTGTCCTTCTCCTTTTCTCTTTCTTTCTCCTGGATTAGGGTCTGCAGGTTCTGTAAGGGCTTTGGGACTTGAGTCCGACAATCTCATGCTGACGGTCCTTTTCTTTCCTCTGTCTTTCTTTCTCCTGGTCGGCTTTGGAGCAAGAGATCTCTGCGATTCACTTGATAGTGCCTGTTACGTAGGTTTTAGAATACGTGACTAGAACAGGATGCAGAAAGCCAATCTGCCGTGTAGAGTTTATCGCACCCCTCGAAGCTTTCTGAATCGAGAGTTTATGTTGCTGCATTGGGTTTCGCGGGCCGAAGGTCTTCATGTGTGTCTGCCTGCCACAGCTGAACCTGTTTCGGAACCTAGACACCCCTAAATTGCACCTAGTACCCAAGTAACCCTACCCCACTCGGTCCATACCGTGGATTCAAAACCCTAAACACCAAACCCTGCTTCGGGTCTCTGGACCTCCTCGGATGAGAAACCGGCAAGCCTTGCTGAACCCTTACAGGTGCCTGCGCTTGCTTTTCCTTTTCCTTCTTCAAGCGCTCCTCTTTCTCCTTGGCCTGCGAGCTTTGAGTTCAGGGCTGGGGTCGCATAGTGTCTTTGGTAAGGTCTTTGGTAAGCCCTAATTCAGACCTCTAGCCGAAAACCTTAACCCCGTGAGCCCTTAACCATGTAGCTTCAAACCTTGTGAGCTGCTGCACAGCCGCACAATTTTTTCCACGTGGAGTTTTAAACCCTGCTTCCTATTCGTCGAATGCTCAAAACGCAAACCCTCAATCGTGAATCTGACATGCTGTTAATGCCCTCCTAATACAGCGCGCGCTAGAGTGCCTCTTTCTCCTCCTGCTTTTTCCTGAGGGTTTGGTGTTCCAAGGTTTTTTAGTGCCTTTGGTTTGGGGCTCAGGGACATTTATGTTTGGGAATGCCGGGATACTTCCCAAACCATATTATTGTTGGACACAGCGAAACCGGATCTTCCCATCTCAAGCCGTCCGAAAGACTGCTGGGCTTTCAAAGACGAAGGAAACAGTATTGACTTGCTCATCTGCCAAGCCAAAACGAGCCAACATTCTGGGCAAAACATAATTTGATTCTTGAAGCTGCAAAAACTGATCTAAGCCTGAACATCGACTGAGATAGCTACCTCTGCAAATGTTTCCACCCCTACTGATTTCCGCAACTCATGCAAGATGCCATGGTTGCTCCAGCTTTTGCACGTGCGTAGCCAGCTGCATTCGTGAATATCCTTGCGTGCTTACATGCATATGTCTAAGTGGAAGGTGCGAACCTGTGCAGACATGCCTGCTACATCTATGCGCGTATGTGTGTATCTACATGTACTTGTATCTGTATGCGTAGCTGTATAAGTGCATGTGTGTGCACAATACGTGAGTGTGTGTGTGTGTGTATATATATATATATGTATAATATACATATGTATGTACACGCGGGCATGCATGCACATATAAGTATAATAAAAGCTTCTGTTTCACACATTCATGTGTGCTCGTGCATGACAACTCTACTTAACCCCCCGAACCTAGGAGGGGATCACCGAACAGCCGACTGGTTGGATTCTTTAGGACCCAGAACAACTCTTTCTTGATCTTGTCAGGCCGCTTCTTCTCACGCTCCTTCTCCTGGCAAGAAACAGGTTAGCGCCGTGAACACGGGAGCCCAATCCCAAAGCCCCAAGACCTTGAAATCCAATTTCCGAGGCAACAAATCCTATTCGTTACCCAGGTCCTCTGAAGTTGAAGGCTCAGGAGCCATACAGTAAATTGCAGAATGCACCCAGAATTGTTGAGCTTCGGATGCTCTCGGGACTCTCGATCCTAACCCAGGGCGTGCGTCGCTGTACCGCTGTTGAACCATTTTCACCGGGTTGGATGGCCTGAACACAGGGGACTCGGAGAGCTGCTTTGCGAATAGCAATAATAGTAGTAACAAAAAATAATAATCAGAAGAGTAATAGCAAGATTGTAGTAACAACAATAACATGTAGAAACAAACATCAGTAAGAATACTACTTGTAGTGATTATAAGTCCAACAGGGTTTCGGAGGCAATGCACCCGTCGGGGCTCCAGGCTTTCGGTTTTCCACTGGCTATAGACGGCGTATAGGCGCCTGTATTGACGGGTATGGCCCTCCGCCCCCCCCCCCCCCCCCCGGGAACCCATCGTATCACCTACCATGTATCACCCCTTACCCCCTGCTGGAGCGGCTCAGGTAGATTGAAAACTCACTCCCGAAAGCCTCTAACAACCGATCATACACAACCGAGGCGCATGGTGGTAAGGCAATCTTACCAACTATACATCGAGAAGGAGATGCCCCTAGCCCCCAAACCCTGGTTGTGGAAATCATGCAGACCCTGATTGATATCCCTTCGTGCTTCCAAGGCCTTAATGCTGGCATCGATACGATTGCCCCTATGAAGAGAACGAGGGCGACATTGCTCAGTGGTTTACGGTAGGCACATTAATTGCTTATGTTAGGGTCCGACCCGCTCCTTCTCCTTTTCTCGCTGCAGCTGCAGTTCCTTCTCCTGGTCGCGCACAATCTGTTTCGGACACTTCGGCTGCAAGCTTACAGTCGTGCTTCGATCCTAGACGCTAAACCCTAGGTTTTGTGGTCCAGAGACCAGGGCCTAGAGTCTATAGAAGGCGCAAAGCTTTCATGCGAACTGGCTTATTTCTGGAGCCTTCCAGGATTTAAGGAGCTGAGGGCTCCTGTCTTTGGCTCAAGATTCTCTGTAGGGCCTCAGGTTTCCAACAAACTAGGGGTGTTTGGTTCTGCAGCGCCCCAATGGAAACGATAAAGTTGCTACTGTCGAGGCGCTTTGATCAGATGTCAGTCACTTGCTGAACGAAGCTCTAATCATTTGCACAAGAAACTGAATCATGTAGGGGCCTGAATTAATTCCTATAGGATTTTGGGGTATGTTCTACTAGAGTCATAATGGGGAAACCTCAAAATAGCACGCGTAATGTATTCAGGCCCCTGTATTAGGGCTTGCCGCACTCCATGCTGTCTTCAAGGCCGGCAAGACCAAGCCCCAAACCCTCGAAGTGAGTACAACGTGGTGGAGAGACATGTACCAGCCCTGGATTGTCCAAAAACAGGCCGTCACCATAAATTTGCAAGCAACTAGAAATGTTGACATTTTGGAATAAAACCGGTGCTTCCTTACCATGGTAACTGACAGCTTAAGCTAGGAGATGCCTAAACAAAAGCCCGGAAAACCAAGACGCAGTGAGTCGGCAGCACTTTAGTATGAACATGTCGCCCAGGAGCGTGAGATGTAGAGAGCAGGCTGAAAGTGCTGGAACTGAAACCCCATCTCCAAACCCTAAATCCGAAACCGCAATCCCTGAATTTAAGCCTGAACTTACTATTCGACCCTAAACTTGAACCCGGATCACCTGTTCCCCACACCCCCACCACTAGACCCGAAAAGGCCATCCTCACTTTACACCCTAGTTCAAGCCTTAGATTCCTTACCCCGCCCTTTGGAGTGTGCGGTTGAAATGTATCTTAAACTCCAACCTAGACATATGTTCCTGATAGGGAGCATCTGGAATCTTAGTGTACCCTGGAACCGGGAAAAACACTTCCATTCGTAAACCTTCAGCCCTAAAACACTCCTTCAACAGTTGCAGTATTCAGTCCCTTTTCTGGAGCACCCTAAACTCCCAACCACCAGAAATAGGAGACGACGCTACGAAAGCCTGCTCGCGCTCCTTCTCTCGCTCCTGCACCTGCTTAGCGATCGGTTTAGAGTTTTTTGAGCACAAAACCCTCAATTGCAAACCCTCCAAGTGTAAGCCAAAGACTGCAAAGACATCTTGCCATGCGAAAAAGACGTTCATCCTGCTTCAGAAGTTGACACAGCGAGGTTGATTCCATCGCCAAAGTTGTTACCGATATTGGAAATTGTGTGTTATTGCTTGGCTGGAAGTTGTACATAATTGCTGTAGCAGAATACCTCGGCGTCCCTCAGGAAACTGTACTGTTACTATGCCTTGCTTCAAGTGGTCTTGACGGCCTTGGACTTTACAACACTGAATAGTGTGCTTACTATCTTTTCTTGCAGAATATTTGCAGTGGACGCTGGCTCAGAGCACTGGGCTTAGGTCAAGCCAAGTTTGCGTTCGGGTCGGTGAGGTCAAGTCGGGCGCCTCGCTCTCTGTCTCCTGCTGAAAACTGAAATTACAGAAGCTGCCATACCCAAACGGTCAGGTCCGAAGATACGACTGAACTACTCCGAACGCCGACTCAAAGTCAAATCAGAGGGCCTTCCTGATTCAATGTAGGGTCCAGGGGCATGTTGCAGTATGAATGTCTCAAAGCAATAGCCTAACTTGCTACTGAAGCCCAGGTCAAGCTATTCGATTGCGGTATTTGTGCTTGCAACCTTGCAACGCGAAATCCTCATTCCTAGAAGTGGCCGTCCTACTTGCCGAAGCTATTCTACCCCTCTAAGCCCCCAGTTTCAAATTGAGCATCCCTTATTCCTTATACGAGCCCCGAGGCCCATAAAACCCCCTCCCCCCTTTTGGCCAAAAGGGCCTTGGGATCTCCATCTCGCGCAGCCTGCCGAGCTGGAGCTTTCGGCTTACATACCTATGTCAATTTAGGGCTTATAGGGTTTAGGGTTTAGGGCCATAGAGTTTAGGGCTATAGGGTTTATAGATCTGAGAACATGGGTTTTTTAGGGTGCACTGCAGCATCTTCGAAGAGGGACAGGAAGGGGTTTGGATTTGGGGTCTCGGACTGAAGCTTCGGGTTGCGGGTGTAAGGTTTAGGTTTTCGGCTCTTGTCGAGAGCTCAGGGAACCCAATGAATTTCTGTGAGACCGTGACGTGCTGAGTAAAACACGGACACTGAAACCGATGCCCTGCGCCTTCAAGCCCAAGGAACCGAATGCTGGGGTTCAAGACTTTTGTAGCGCGAAATTACGTGGTAACAAAATTACTAACACCATATGTGCATATGTGTACACCCGAAATCCCAAAGCCACATTCCAATGATTCAGCACAGGGAACATTAAAGCAAGGCATTCACAGGTCCTGAGTCCTGAGCCCTGGACAATCGGGTTTGAGCGAGATACTAACACTAAGATTTGGCCACACGAAAACCAATCTAAAAGCAGGTTCCGGCCGAAGCCGAAAATCCGAGGTTCACTAGGCTTGGATTTCCGAGAGAAGCAACGGGGCGGTGTGCCCGAACTTGAGGAGCCGCCTGCGGGTGTCATCTCCGTCTCTATAGGCATTGCCGAGTCCGACATCCACGGCGGTACTCGGCTCTGCAGAACCAGAGGCCCTTCTCCTGAAGCCTGCCCACTCGCAAACTCCGGGCCTTTGTCACCTGCAGTCGCCAACTGTGCAAGAACACCCTCTTCTGTCGCAGGCTTCTGCTTCGAAACCCGGACAGCAGTTATCGTCGGATGAAGCCTTCAGTCCGGCATTGCAATTTTGGCAGCAAACCTGTAGGATGTGTTTATCGATTGCTCTCTGCACACTGGACTTACGTGTTGGCCTGTTGTGGTTGCCACGAATGCCATCGATCCTCTTAACATTCTCATTCTGGCGGTCAGTAGTGTGCGAATAACCACCTGTGAAGCTTGAGTTACGCACTTTTGCAGGACCTGGGCCCTAAACCCAAAAAACGCTAAGCACTACGACCTTCGGACTTACGGCTTAGGGTCATTTTGGGTGTGAGGGGATGCCCAGCCGACTGCTTCGGGTTTAGAGCTCTGACTCTGCGTCTTGCTGGACCCCATTGAGTTTGGGCGGCTTGGGGGGTTGTTGCCGAGTGTTCTGAACCAGCAAGCCGCCGGTGCCTTCTTGGCATCACCACGCTTGGCGTCGTGCTCCTGCCGCTTCTCTGACATGTGTTCGAAGGGTTTCCAGTCGCGCACACCCAATCCCTGCACGAACAGACAACCGGCACTCAGATCTAAACCCCCGGCTGCTTGAAGATCGAACCCTGAGCGTCCTGCTCCAAAGTCTTAAGCTTTCGCTACCTGCGGCTGCCTCAAATCATAAATCTCTACATTTTCAGGACTCGGCCTTGACACAGTCTCGAGTTCTTGGAATTACAGCCCTCCCGGCCCAGCTTTGATCCCTCAGAGGGGATTCGTAAATCAGGGGTACCTTTGACAGGCCATTAAACGCTTCTGTCATGCTTCTTGAATTCGAAGTGGGGCCCCGAATAACAAGGATCCTGGTATTCCGTCCCGATGCCAGGCCCCCCTTGGCTCCCATATGCGGGCATCGGGTATGCACTAAACGTGCAAACCTCAAAAACCTAGGCAACTGAACACCTAAACCTTAAAACCCCACACCGTTCCGGCCATTTTGCAGGCTGGAATTTCGTTTAAGGTTCAGGATTGTGGATGTATAGGTTGTATTGGCTGACGGTCTGGGGTTTAATGATTCGGCCTTGGGACCTTCGCCCGGTCCGAAGTCGCCGGGGCAGGCAGACCTCAACATCCTCAACATCCATATTGCGAATCGCCCTTTAGCTATAATAAATCCTAAAACTCTGGCCCTCAACCCTAAACCCTAAACCGACCATAGATCCTAAAAGCCTAGCCGGGAAGCACGCCAAGTCCAAAACACCCGAAGCCCTAAGCCTCAGGTAACAAGGCTTAGTGCTCTGGGCTTAAGTTTCAGGCGTTGCGGGTGTAGGGAGGCTGTGGGCTTCAGGTAAAATAGCACAATATTACAATAGCAGAATAGGGCAATATTTTCGAAGTCTAACCGTCATTACAATATTGTAATGGCATAATAGTGTTTTAGGGTATCCAAGGTGGCCCAAGGTGCCTCGAGCATCTCCTTCCGCTTCTTCTTGCAAGCTTCCTTTCAAGATCCAAAGGCTTTTTTTGCTGTTGGATCCAAAACAATGACCGTAATGACGCGAGGGCCGGGAACGTGACCGAACGGTTCGCAGGTCTAGGGTCTGGGGACTTTGCAGAGTGAGGGAGTCTGATCAAAGCTGCCTTGGGAACTGCGAAAAGCAGTGCCGAAGCCGCCCAAAATGACCGCAAGAACTCTAAATGGCCGAGTTCACAAGGAGCTCATCACACGAGTTCCAACCAATCCGCCCAAAACCGTCCTGGATGGCATCGCGGTGGATGCCTTTCAACTCCAAGCTAGCTCGCAGCTCCATGACCTGCTTTAGGGAATTCTCTTCAGGCTTTTGAGTTTAGGTGTGAAATCTGTATACGGGTCTTCTTCACTTCAGGGTTTATGAGTGTGGGGTTCAAGGTTTTAGGACGATCGAGGAGGTGGAGGTTCAGGGTGAAGCTTTGAGGGTTTTCAAGGTTCGGCACTTAGGGCTTTGGCTCAGGCGAGTGTGAAGGCTTAGGGTTCGGCTTGGAGAATGAGGGGCTCCAACATCTGCAAAGCCTCTTCGACTCTAAGCTGCTGAAACCTCTGACTGTGTATGTGTGTAATCTAGATTCAGACAGACCGACAGACAGACAGACAGACAGACAGACAGCTAGCTAGCTACATAGATAGATAGATAGATAGATAGATAGATAGCCAGATAGACAGACAGATAGATAGATAGACAGATAGATAGACGGATAGATCGAGAGACTTACATGCTACCTGTCGCTACGACGACATGGACCGGCCTCCAGCTCGATGTCGCCGAGGAGCGCCTGGGTCGCCTCGCTGGCGGGCTGCTCCTGGCACGGATCCGACTTTGGCTTTAGTATACGTACATAATGGTTTAGTGTGCATAGTATATAGTATACAGTATATGTAGTATATAGTTTAGAAAGATGTACTAAAGTATATAAAGTATAGTTTGGGGGCCCAGGGGTTTATGGGCCTTCATGCTAACTTGTAAACCCCGCTAGCCCTCAGCAACTGAACCTTAGAGCTCAGGCCTACAACGTTCCGGCCCTGCACCCTAACACCCCCCAAAATTGCTAAGTTCAAGAAAGAAAGCCAATGCTTCCCTTTGACTTCAGAAAAGTGATCTGCAGCCGACCCAGGGAATTTTGGGATCGGCCTTCGGACTTTGTGCTGGAGGTGCCCAAACTGAATGATCGAGAGACCATTGAAAAGTTTGTCAATGAAGTCGTTCATGGGACCCATAATGACTCACCTTCGTTGAGGGTCCTGTGCATTCATGAGGCTTAGGGTTTGCAGTCTCCGGCGAGTTCTGCTTCAGATCCGAGGCGATGCGAGGAAGCGATTCGAGCATGCAGGGTGTATAAGTTATAGTTTATAGGCCTTGGGGCTTATGTGCGTGTGGATTTTTGCAGAGTTGGCGGAGTGAAGGGCATGTGGGGTGCGGGATTCAGGATTTGCCAGGGTTTACGAGGGTATACCGCACGCGGTATAGGCTTTGGGGCTCAGTGAGTCTGAATCATATTGGCGTGTTTAGATTATGCAGGTTATCCCTGAGAGATACGATTATGATGAGGGGGAGCTGGCATGTCATCATCAAGCACAGCCCACTTCAGGCTCAGTTTTTCTGCACACGGGTGGGTGGCACGAAGTCGCGTGCCCCACGAACTTTCAGACTTCTGCAGGCTCACAGGTTGGAGTTTCGAGGGAATTCGCAATAAGGGGCAGATCTATAAAAACCGCAGTAGTAGGGGCTCATGGAGACATGGAGAAGCAACCCGGCAATTGTTCCAACAACCCTTTTTGTTACCAAGGTGGGGCCTTAACCCTAATTTCCCAGGATCTAAGAGACTGCTGTTCTTGCAGCATGAACACTTCCTGCTGTAGAAAGACGCCACCCTCCATAACGAAATATGATCAGACTATACCCCAACCAGTAACTACTTCTTGGATGCTCTAAACTCTGTGGAACTGTGGGCAACTACCAGGATTCCGCGTTCTTCTCAACAAAGTCGCGCAGAGATCAACGGCTTGGGGAAAGTCTATATCTTAAACTTGTTAAACGGTTTACCGTGCTACCTAAACTCAAAGCCTGACTGAGAATAACTGGTCATCTGCAGCAGAGACTTGCCGCAACAGAAGCGAGGAGCTCCGGCACATGATGGGTGCTTAGGAGTTGAGTTTAGGAAGTGCTTTTGCTTTGTGTCGATGACTCTCTTCGAAACTGATTGCAACTGCAACCACGGGAGGCAACATCAACAGTAACACAACCACACACACACACACAAANNAAAAAAAAAAAAAAAAAAACATAGCTAGTATGCAGACTGAGTAACAAATGGCAGTAGCAAATGGCAGAAGCAACGGCACACACAACCGACGTTCGGCCTCCACGTCTCTCGAAACCCTACAGCCATCCCTCAAACCCTGCATGCTGCATCCCCGACTCCCTAAACCCGACTTAAACCTCAAACCGTACTCCATAAGCCCTCGAATC